AGCACACCGGCTAGTCTTGAACAGCTCAGCAGAAAAAAGTAGTGCTGCTTTGTGGGACAGGACCGTCCACAACCAGCAAGCGAACCAAAATATCAAACTGCAGGATAGCCCTGCACCCTGCATCTCCCCTTCTGCCTACCTGCAGATTTTGAGCAGCTATTGATCTCCAGGGTCTTTTTCCCCCATTTTCTTTGGCACGGGGATGCATTTTCTCCACTGCATCGGGGGCGAGCACATTGCCAACCACCCACCTCCAGCATCAGCATCCCTGTGGTGGGGCCACAGTGACACCAGCAGGGGCCAGAGCGCTGCCCTCCTTCTCCTCAGGGTTGAGCCATAGTTGGTGTCAAGATGGAGAGAAGGGGCAGTGGGGGGGCCGTGCCGAGCCACGATGGCCACGTTTCCCCCAGCCGTGCCGGAGAGGTGCGGGTAAGATGAGAGGGTGGCAGTGACTGCCATGCTGGGCAGAGCCTTCACTTTCTCGTCTGACACTTCTACGGGGAAAGAAACACAAGCAATTACGAAAACCAAAGGATTTGACCGTAACGAACCATAAAACACAGGATCAGCTGCCTGCCCCTCGCTCACCCCGTCCATATAGCGACTCAGTTATGCCTTGCTGGTGCTGCCTGTGTTACGGTCATCAGGCGACAAAGCCAGCAGTTAGAATTGATTAATTGACTTGTACATTAAATAGGTATTCGTGCTCAATTATTGGCAGGTTTGTTAATGGATTACTATTTAAACGATTCTGATATTTTAAATTACATGTTATTTTATAGATGCACATTTACTTAAAAAAAAAGAGCACTCCTTGCATCTATTAACATATTAAAGAGAAAATAAAACATCCAGGCTGATATAATGCACAATGTGGCATTACTCTGGGTGTTTCCTAAGCTAGGGAAATCTTATTTGTTTAATAATAAGTTGGTCATGAATATGCAAATCTGCATCAGTGCAGTACCTCACTGCTGTCACTATTAATGAGTTGCAAATTAATGTGACAACAAAAGGAAAATCTATTTAGTCGCAGAATTGTGGTTCATACCTGGCTCAAGAGAGCAACTGTCTACAGCCTCGACGATCTGCTGGAGCAAATTGTGCCCATGGTGTGGACAAGGTTTCCTTCAGGGCTGGCAAACCAGAAATAAGCAACCCTCTGCCTTCATCCCCGAGGGTAGAAGGCAACGTTGCTCCTAATGATCCATCACACTTCACTTGCAGGAAAATACAATTTTTTTCACTCTGCAATCACAGTGAACCCATGCAAAGCACACTAATGGGGGAAGCGCATAACTCGCAAGACTGACGTAGGTGGGAAGAGAGTGTGGCCATGTAGACATGGTACTTAAAGAGAACTCCATCTTCTTCAGTTCTATTTGGGGATTTTTCCTCCTGACAATGCTACAAGCTCACAAAGTGAAACTTGTTGGATTCCAGTCACTTTCTTCTCCTGCCCCTCCTTCTAGCACAAATGCATCAGTGAATAAGCACATTGAGAAAAGACCTAATACATGTCTTCACGACTGTGGCATTCAACTCTTCTGTCTTGCGTAGTGGCACCAAGCCCTCTCCTACCAACACTGGACTCGTACTTAAAAGAAAATACAACGTTCTGCAAACAATTTGAAACGGATATGATACTATTTTTTCAGTTGGCTTGCATCTGTACAAGTTTGAAGTGGCAATGTGTGCCTTTTTCCTGTATGAACTGAAGAAATGATGCGGAATGTTCACCAGCAGCCCTGCAGAGCCTGGGAATGGCAGCAGCCTGCATTTACCACTCCCTGACACCTTGTTCATATTAATGCAGAAACGATGGGTCTCATCTATAGTTTCAGTATTTAACACAGAAATGCAGGGAAGAGTCAGCTTCAAACTCTTCGATTCATGGAGTGAGTTTGGCCCCTGGGAGCAGTTTTTAAGACAATTTCCATTCTGCTCCTGTGATCCTGCAAACTAGAAGCTGGATCAGGCTTCCAGCAGGCATCTGGGCTCTACCTTTAGTAGATTGCTCCCTAAAGAGCACCAACACCAAGCACAAACAAGGACCAAACACCTCTGATCGTTGCTTGCCACTCGCTCACCGTATTAGTGTCTTTGGTACAAGTCTCCAGCAGCCCCCAGAACAGAACAGGGAGACAACAGCAAAGCAAAAGGAACAAGAAGAGTGTCCGGAAGGAAAATAACCCAAATGGGAAACTCCCAGGGCTGACCCCAATATGCTGAACCCAGTCCTCTTGGGTAAGGCAAGAAGGCAAAGGAGGAGTTCACTATTTTGCGGTCCTTGGCAGCATCGCTTATCTCGGGGCACCCCTGCCAGCACTGCCTGTGCTGTGGCTTCCCCCTCCCACCAGGCACCCACCCTGGAGCTGGGCATTTCGCGGGATTTCCCAGCCAGCACTGAGTAAAAGTTTGACAGAGGAAACTCCCTTCAGCGAGGCTTACTTGCCTGCTCTAGCTGGATATGTTTTGAGGTTTTTTTAGCTATTGCACCAGTCGTTCTCCAACCTCTCCGTGGGGCAACACAACCTCCCAGCCAGGCAAATCCAAGTGATAAGCAGGGGAAATTCAAGGAAACACCTTGGCTTGGGCCCCAACAGCATCACCACTGCTCTTTCACCTTGCAAAAGGCAGGACATGGGATCAGCACGGTTTTACCATCCCCAAAGGCTGTGTTTCTGTTTCCTTATTTTTTATTAACCTGGAGCAATGCCAGCGGTGCGAATCGAGTCTCTTTGGCCCACGGAGGATGCACAGGAAAGTGCTTTAAAAGAGAGCAGCGTGAGTCCAGAAGCTGAAACGCTGAACATCAGCCAGTCCCTCCCAGCCCTGCCCTTCCATGCAGGCTGGAGTTAGCTGAGTTCCCAGCTCAGCGCTGTGCAGGATCCAGCCAGTCCCGGTGCTGGCAAGGCAGCCAGCGTTTCGACTCCCCTGCCTACGCTCACTGTCACTGAGTCCGCTCCCTGCCGGCACCCTGCCATCTCTCCTCTGCCCACGTTAACTATTCCCTGGGCTTGCCTACCGAAAAACTGTGCTTGCAGCCAGCCTCTCCCGTCACTCTCTCTCTCAAAGCGCTCAGAATAGGGTCAGCCAAGCCAGCCTCGTGTGCCCAGCAGCACGGGATGCTGCCCTGCTCCTTCACTAAACCCTCCCTGCTCTCTCAAGCACCCTCACAAGGCAGTCTCTTTAAAAAAAAAAAGAGTACATCCCAGAAGATAAAATGGTTGCGTTATGTCAAGGGGCAGCACTGCGATCAGGTGTTCCCTGCCACGGCCCTATTTTTAGAGCGCAGACGGGCCCCGGGGCAGGCACATGCTTGCATTACAACAGCGTGAGGCTGTTACTGTATTTGAGCGCGGATGCAAGCGCCAGCATGGAGAAGACCCAACTGTACTCGGTAGAGATAGCAGAAAGCTGACTAAGCAGAGACATTTGGGGAGCACGTGCTCAAGATCATTTGAGGAGGAGCCGGCCAAAAGAAGAAGCCACATGAATCTTCCGTTTGCCTGCGGGGCACAGTGAGAAGCAAGGTGTCTGCCACGCACCCCTGGAAGTGGTACGAAGCCCATTTATGCTCAGCGCAAACCATCCAAGTGTTACACAGCTGATCAGATAAAGGCGTCTGGAACAATTGCTTTTAATGTTCTCCCTTGCCTTAGCTTTTCTGGCCCACCTCTGCTTTCTGGGAAAATCAGAGGGTTCAAGCATCCAGCACTGCAGAGTAGGGATGTCTGAATTTCAATTCCGTGCAAAGCTGGAGGTTGGCTTAAAAGGAAACCCAGTGTGTCTGTGTGAGCCATACAGAAGAAAACATCATCATCCTTACCTGAAGAAAGATGTCAGTGGTGACATTAGCACTAAAAATTCCCTGCCCCTGTGGGGAGATGGGACTTCAGCTGCCAACAGTGGAGGGCTGTCGGACGCCTCCTTCGCCTCAGCTACAAAACCACCTTACCCTCAGCAGCAGTCCCTCTGTAAGCCACACAGTATAAACATTTGGCAAAAGACTAGGTGACAACACACCAACGGAGGCGTCAGCTCTGCGTCTTTCTTCTGGGGCACCTTCAGGAATGAGGTGTCATTCTCCCTTACCTTCAAGATGAGGGTAATTCACACTGTTTCTTAAGGTCCCCCAAGAGCGAAGATTTAACCTTCAGCACACTGACCATTACTCTAAACGTCTGAGTTTCACTGCTCCATGGACAGAGAAACTTTTTCCCAGATGTTTTCCTCAGATGGACCAGGTGCTCTGCTCGAGACCCTTTAGGTGGGTGTACTGGCCCTCATCAGAAGAGCAACGTGATTGAAACGTCTCAGCTGATGCGTTTGGCTATCACAGGACATCCTACTGTTAATAACAGCCCCAAAGCAACACTCAAGAGTTTGAGTTCACAGCAAGAACTTCATTCCACAAGGGGAAGGGCAGATCCAGACCTTTAAGAGAGGGCCTGCCCAAGCCCTGGGAGCCCAGTCTCTTCAGGTGCAAGTTCCCAAGCTGTGTAAAAGTGGCGTTCTGTTCACCATCCCTTTAGATCTCCCACAAAGGGCCTTCACAGCCTTTAAGCTCTACGTTATAACTAAAGCACTTAGCCTGGTACTATTTTCCACCCCTCTGCAGACACCACTGAAAAGATAATTCAGTCGATTCAATTTTTTTAAGATTTTTTTTTTTTGTCATCTTAAAAAAGATGACAAAGGAGGGAAAATAACTGAACCTATCTGCAATTCTTTAAGTAGAAGGTGATGCAGAAAGTATTGTGAATGCCGCTTTTAAGTCTCTGTCCCACAAAAGGCGCCCACCCGATGTTTTCTCCTAACCTTGAATTTAGAGAGCCGATGCAGATTCTACCTCAGATTTCATCAGCTGCTCGCCGGCACCTGCGCCAGCTCTGCTCCGCTTCAGGAACTGCGCGCAGAGCCTCCTTTCATAAACATTAATGAGTCGGAGCTCGTTTCGAAACCAGGCATGGAATTAATGGGAGTCACTTTAGCCTCTTCATTTCTCAACAGTTTTATTGCCTTTAAGAAAATTTTTGTAAAATATAAATACAAAGGCAGGAGATTTACTTACAAAGTTAAAACACAGATCTCAAACATAAACACACAATTCAGAAAATTTAGTTTATGTACAGTTTCAAGCAACTTCAACATATGTTAGTTTTTCAATATTTTACAAGGTACAGAAAAAATAGTTCAAAGTCTTCTTTAAATAAAGAGCATAAAATGTTTAAACATATATAAACAATCCGGTTTGATGTGTGAAAACTAAATTTCACAGCTTTTAAATTAGGATATAAAAGTTCTTACAATTAGTTGATGCGTATGGATATGGTTTAATTTATATTACAAACTATTGAATTATATTCAATAGTGCTTACCTGGCCAAAGCAGGTAATTCTGTAAACAAAAAAACAAAAATAATATCACCAAGTGCCTTACCGAATTCATCTCCCAAACAAGCCACACGACTTTGATCACATCACCTAGAAAAAGTATGTTCTGTGTAATCAGTGCTTTGTATGAAACAAAGTCTATGTGTGGTTGTGTTCTTTAAAAAAAAAAATGTGTTCCGAGTAATAACAAACTTATCCCAAAGCCTGTGTGCATTTAAAGAAACATTATATAACAATTTTGTAAAAACTGATTGAAGTTAAAAAAAAATTCTTCCAAAATTCATCCAACTGGAATTCAGATCTCTTATATAAAGGAAAGATATTTTCATATTTAATAGTGTCCTTTCTTTACAGAAACAATTGCATTTGAACACATATACATAAAGAAGTAACTGTATAGAGTACTGTACATTAAATGGCCTGATGGTTCACCAGAGGATGTCGAAGGGCGGGTCCTCGTGCGGATGCAACCAGTGAAACGTGGAGCCGAGCAAAGTCTTGAGTTCGCTTGTAAACTCTACCAAGTCCAACAGCTCTTTGCTCTCTGGGTTAAAAGCTTCAAGGTCCGTAGCGCAAGAGAACAACTGGCTGAGGGAAGTCTGTTTGTAAAACTCTGCCTCCGTGATGGTGACAACTTCCAGATTGGGGAAGTTGCAGCGGAAGATGCGAGATGACATTTTTAGCCTCTTCACCACGTCCGACAGCAAAAGCCAGTTTCGTGGTCTGTGGAAGCGAAGGAGAAAGAGGCTCCAATAACCAACATTAAGTCACAGGCTTCTTGACTCTTCACCATATCGCTGTCTGACAAACCCTCCTCACAAACAGCCCCCCCTGAAATTAAGGCTGTTGCCCAGGGGAGTCGAATATAACAGATGTGCAGGCACATACGTATTTACTCATAGTTCTGCTGCTTCGGGGAAGGAGTGGAACGAGGCATGCAGGGCCACTGGAGCCTATAAATCCAGGGCTCCTGAACACGTGCGTGGGTCAGCAGCCATCCCGACGGCTGCTCACACGGTTAAAAGGTTCACCCGGCTGAGCCTGACTCTTATTTAGCAAGTTAGGAGATGGCCTAGAGTTATAACCACAAGTTCCAGCACCTCTGACTTCCAGAGGTGCCAATATTAAATACAAGTCAACGGAGGGTTTTTTCTGAGACTGAAAATACAATTTTTTAATTCCATCTTTATACTTGTCCACTTCAGAGAACTTTCAAGTTATACCCACCACCCTAATAATAAAAACATGCTAAACCCACACTCCTGCATGATTCATATTTAAAACTATTTTTCCCACAGCTGTCATCAAAACTGGTGCAAATAAAAACAGTGGCTGTTTATGAAGCTAATTTGTATCTTAAATATAACAGATAATAAAATTTTCCAGGTCTTTGGTTATTATTAAGTATCATAGTGTCTTCTGCAAGACTTTTATTCGTTTGATACGATTCTGGGCTTTTAAACCAGTTTCGCTGCAGTCTGGAACAGAAATAATGATGCCATTTCATCACCCACAAAAGCGTGTCCACTCAGCAAAACAGAAAAGGCCATTAAATAAAACTAAGACCACCTTGAACACATGATATCCAAACATAAGTGCTAGAAGGACTTGCATTTTGCAATGTTCTATCAAGATGCTTGCCTGGGATGAGGGACGGAATCTGTGTTCAAACATCACTCGTCCCACTCAGGAGCACGGCACCTAAAACAGCCCCGACAAGTCAGCCTTTCCCCCTCTCACCTCTTCCTAGCTTACTTCTAAAAATCCCGGCAATTACGGTGTTGCTTTCTCGTTTACATTAGATAAACGCAAGCGCTATTCCCCACGGACACAAACTTCCGCCATCCCAAGCAGATCGTCTCAGCTATTTTTACCCCAAACCCCGTATTTGCTCTTACCCCTGAGAGAGACACACTTGAATGTTGTAACACGGCAAGGGAGGCTCATCCGAAAACTCAAATTCAAACACATCGCTAAAGCCGTCTTCATCTTCATCACCTGGGCCGGGAGGATTTGCCAAGACGTCAAATCCAGATTCATCTTTTGGATCTAAGTAAGATTGAATAAAGGTGCCAAGTCAGCGTGGAAGAGACTATTGCAGGTCTTGCTTTTTCTTCCAATAACGTGATCTGTAAACTAAATCAGTTTGGTTCCTTCCTAGCTTCCTCCACCATAAAAACAAAACAGCCCCCACCCCCACGTGCCGCACGTTTCCGAAGTCTCCGCATACAAAGAAATAAAGGGTAACATTTGCTCACCGCACACAGAGCTGCCATAGAAATCCCAGTACAAACCAGGGTCATCAACACTTCGACCTTGCAGGTCAGTTAAATACTCTGGAGAGGAAAAAACAACAACAAAAACATACTGATGAGAACAAAAAGCTGGCAAGTTTCGCAGACCATGTGTCATGCTGCCTCACTATGCACCCTCCATATCTTCCACCAAATAAAACCCACATCGTGTTCCTGATGCACATGCTACAAAGAACAGCACACGCACACACATCATTCTCACAAGTATTTCTGGAATTCACTTTTCTCCTGCATCCCTTCTCCCATCACATCAAATAATGACCCAGCACATCAAATGATCACTCACTGTCTAAGAGAGAGAGACCCAAACTTAAGCTTCCATAACTGAGAGTGGCATTTTATTTTGGTGAAAGTGAGGATGTAGCACGCTTTTCAGCCTGCACAGTTATCCTAGACACCAACTTGGGGGTGAAACAGTGGCCCCAAAGAAACTGGCAGAAAAGGTTTTTCCACACAGTTATGTTCAGAAGATGTAATTCTATAGACATTATCTGGCAGATTTGCTAGTTGAGTTGATGAAAAGATACTGGGATTCAAGACGCTAAGAAGTCCAAGATACTGGACTTTACTGGAGTCCTGATAACACTTACGCGCTTTCTACACTGCACCAGTTAAAAAGGTAAGTGGACGAGTAATTAAACTCACTGACTGTGAACACCACAAGCATTTTCAGAGGTAAAGTTTTAGGGAATGCAAGTGTCTTTATCCAAAACTAACAGGAAAAACAACTAAAACCATGTTAGAACATGGACATGTTTAAAGACAAGAGCCTTTAATATAGTTTTACAGCATTTCAGATATAAAATTAAGCAGAACTTGCAAAAAGACAAGTACTAGAAGGATAAAAAGCAAGACCATGGGAAAACATGATTACATTTAACAAACAGCTATTTGATTTGGCAAGTTTCTTATTTTCATTTCAAGTAGAAAAATGCAGGCTCTGAAACAGCCCGCTGACCTCCTACCTATCAAATCTGATAGCCACCTAATCCTTAGGACTTATTAAAAGTTTCAATTAGACGGAGCTCCCATGCATGGCTACGCTTCCCACCTGCAGCGGCTGGGTTTTTTCAGGCAGAGAGGGAGCTACGGCACCCTACTCTAATGCTCCTCAGCATAGAGCCATCCCCGCCGGGCAGCAGGGACTTTGGGGGGCCCAGGAACATCCTCCCATTTGCCATGACCCCCAGAGCCCCGTGCAATGTGGCCACGCACCTGTGAGGAAGGTCTCCATGAGCTCACTGTGGGTCATTTTCACGATGGTCCTCCCAGAGTAGGTCGCAAGTGTTGGATCAGCACCATAAGACAGTAACAGGCGGACAATTTCCAAGTGATCATTTTCGACCGCATCATGGATTGGTCTAGGGGGAAATAAAGAAAGATCACGGTGTTACATTTTGACTCAATGGTATTATGCAAATGTATTTCACAAGAAACTTCTGACTTCGGATCAAAGTTATTTATAGCAAATAACACTAATTAATACAGCTGACAATCATCTCATTGTCAGTTTTACTTGCACATCATCCCCTCCCCTCTCGTCTTCTCACAGCTGGCCTGCACGGGGCAGATATTTCTGCTGTGTCTATTCATTGTCATTCATATTTTGAGGGCCAGTAAAATAATTACACCGCTGTAACAGAAAGCAAGAGTTTGCGTGAAGCCTCACAAGCACAATTTTGCTGCAAGTTACTCTACTGTTCCAAATCTCTGCCAATTTAACAGCGCGTTGTGGAGTAAGGGCTTGTTCAGCCTGCCTCTGGGCAAGCACGGAACTCAGATACCCAAAGCTCCTAAATTATGTACACAGAAATAAGTTAGGAAAATTTGCTGGGAATCAAACTTCTGTGCTGTATCCTCTTTAAATAGTACCTGTGATTTGCAGCACAATGCAACCCTTCTACTCGGGGAAGAGAAAAACGTGTTGTTTTAAGTTTAGTCCACCCAGAAGTTAAAAGCAATTTACGCGGCCTGAGCAATCCATACAAGCTCAGACAAAGATCTGGCGAGCCTACAGAAGGATTATTCATTAATACACATGCCTGCAATTCCAGGTTTAGAATTCCTTATCGCTAATTATAAATCGCATTAACTTTTGCCTTTAAAATTGATTATACGTAACGGGGAGTTGTCTGGAAGTAGAACATATTACCCTTCAGACTAATGAGGATGTGTTAAAATCCCATCTTTTCCTTAGAGAGCAATGAGCAGGGAACTGAAAGGGGAGTCAAATGCAATGGCCAGTGATTGTGGCAGTTCAGCTCAACTCTACACTCCTCCTCCTTTAGGCTGTCAACAGCGCTGGCTGCCAACAAGACTTTCAAGCTCTCAAACAGATGTATTAAAAGGCAAGAGAAGTAAGTAAGGACTTTGACAAGGATCACATACTGCCTTCCTGGAAAGCTTTCAGAATGACATTACAAGGAGAAGTCACCTGGAAGCACAGACAGGCAAACTCCTCAGCTCCATCCACCCATCTGCCAAGAAACACTCGGCTAACAAACAGGGCTGAAACTCCCTCCTGCAAAGAGGCCACATCCCACGACTCCTTCTGCCACATGTGGCAATGTCCCCTCTATGTCACCACCGCTTTGGTACGGGCTGGCGTCCACGTGAGCTCGGGACGGAGCAGAGGCAGATCAAAACAGGCAGCAGAGGAAGGCACACCACCATTTCCCCACCTATTAGATAGTGCCGCTGGTGGGGGGAGACTCTGATCCATCTCAAAAAGCAGCATGTTCCAGGTGTGTCTACTCCATTACCTCCCAGTAGGCTGTGACTTAGGGTGACTAACATGTGTCACACGTGAAGCACTCTTGCTTGCCCTTGTCTTGCTGGAAAGCTGTATGCAGTTTTGGTTTTGGCATATGAACGCTACACTGACATGAGGAGGTGCACTTGGGAGAGCTTGCAGCTCATTCCCTACGGAGAGAGGGCTTATCCTGCGCTGCCTGCCTCCTGCACATCCCAGGCCACCAACACAGCAAACAAGCAGCTGATCCTCCAACTGCTGAGCACAGTCCTCAATCCAGCTTGTGTCACCCCTTAGATCCCCGGCACCAGAAAGCGCAACACGTGCGTGCCTTCAAAGCCTGACGTGCTGCTCTTTGGAAAGCCACTTTCAAAGTCTAAGACCAGAGAAGTCCGTGAGGATCGCTCGTAAAGGGTCAGGATATCCCTTCTCAATTTCTCAGGGCAGTCTCTAACATAACACTGAAACTCTCTGACGCCCTGAGACAGAAGGTGCTGGAGAAGTCAGCATTCCCAGGGTCCCACAAGCCTCAGTCTCCCACTTCCACCCACTGACTCAGATCTTCTGCACAGCAACTGTCGCAGCATTGCGTGCCTACGCAGCACTCAGCGCATCCAGGATCCGGCCGGTGCTAAACATCCCAGTCGATACATCACAAGAGGTAACAAATAATCGGGGTGCTGACACGGAAGCTGAAGAAGTATCGGGTGTTTCTGGCTGTCAGCAAGCATCTGAGGCCGGAGCTGTGGGGTCACGACACTCTGAGCATCCACAGCAGGAAAGGTCAGCCTCGCTGCAAACCCTCCTGTCCCCCACTGGGCATGAAGCATCCCCGGCTGAAAGTCTGGCAACAGGCACCGGGAACAGACGAGAGTTACGGCTGCTGCCAAATGCTGGGGATGCTTTTTCTCCCCTGCTCCCTCGCTTTACTGGAGTCTTTAATTTTGAACTGTTTTCCATTTTATTACAGAATTAGGATTTTCTGGTTTTGGGGCAGGGTGGAGAGCGGTGTGGGTTTATTGGTTTGTGGGTTTTCTTGTTTGGGTTTGTTTTTTTTTTTTAAACTGACTTACCTACGTGGCTTTTGAAGCAGTAATAGATTCAAGATGATCCTTAACTTATTAAAAACAGCATCTAAATCACCACCCAGTGCTTCAACTGATTTAATAACAGCCGGCTGAGTTTATTAAAGGGCACGTGGGCATTCCTCAGGAAGAAAAAAACCACAGTGTATGGGCTCTAACTCCAGGACAGGACCCTCTCTCCCTTTCTATGGGTCACCCAGCCTGGCACTGTGGCACAGACAGGGGCAGAGGCAGCGGGACAGGCGGCCTCGTCTTCATCACCCGCCGGAGCACAGGGAGTCCGCTCACGACACAAGAGAAGACTTTACGGATGCAAGGGGAAGGAAAGGTGCAGTAAAGCCGCGCGGAAGGAGGAAGAACAATAAATAGAAGGAAGCCAAGGAAGGAAAGAAAACACTGGCAGGGAGAGGGGGAAAAAAGGAGATTCTCCATAGATAAGGCAGGGGAAAAAAAGGCAGTAACAGAGTGCTGACAGACTCTTTTACTGGGTAGCACAGCTTCTTGGCAAGCTCATGAGCAGGACCATGCAAAGGCACAGCGACTTGTTTGCTTCTCCCACCGGGGCCGGCAAAGGAGGGAGTATTTTTCAGTCTTGGCAGAGTTTAACCATCCTCTTTGTAGGATGCAACAGTGACTACTGGCATCGGCAACTTTTTGAGATGCAATAAAAAGATCCCTGGGAGTCCCCTCCTGAGCTGCTTTGCCCATATTATCTTTTCCGCCCTGAGCATTGTGGAAATAAACACTCTCTATCCCTAATGGTACAGTTAACGGTAGTACAGCTCGTTTCTAAAACAAACCCTTCGAAAGGCCCCAGAAGGATCCGGGGACATTCGAGAGCTGTGATATCCTACAGGAGACACACATCTCAACCCTCTCTTGTGTACTGTCGAATTCTTCCTACTATTTTTACCGCTACTAGAGTTAGGAAAACATTTCACTGGGGGTTTATCATTCCACCACCAAAATTATAAACTATTTAGACCAGTCAGGGTTTGCTCTCAGCCTTTCAGGCACCATCAAGAGTTTTCCTCGCTGCAATAAGAAGTCTCGTAACTCGCCGAGCAATACTGTACGTTGGCATTTTATTTTTCCTTCCATCTACTCGATATATTACGCAATGCTGCCCCACGGAAGAGGCAAGGCACAAGTTGCAGGAGGGCAGCTACACCGGCTGCCTCTTCTTCAGTGCAATTAGCTGCTGGAGGGTATCACTCTGCCAAGACCAGCTGAAAGGACGCAGGAAGAGAGCCATCTTGGCATGGTTCTCCCAGCAAAAAAATAAAAAAGGCTGAGCTCATCAGCCGCCAGCGAGAAGGATAAAGCAAAACTGGCAGCGGAGAGCGAATCCTGAAGCAACCAATGGAGAGGCCTCGCTAACAGGCAGGGGATGCCTGTATTTTTGGCATGTGGCTTTGTTTTTAAAGCAGCGCCGGTTCAGCTAGGGCACACCGTGGGGTTAAGAGGAGAAGAACAAGGAGATAAGGCCCAATACTCCGGCAATCATCCTTGCTAATGTCAGGCACTGATTGTCCAACCTCTCTTGTTGAGCTACTGTGCTTACTGGGGTCCTGTCGGGGAAGGAAAGTGCTCACCTCTTAAGCTCGGTCTTTTATTATTTATAGGTAAGACGATTAAGAGGCCTTAGTGACTGTGGCACCTCTGAGATGGGTCTTAAAAGATCTCCACCCGTTCTACAATAATCTTTGATTAGCCACTAATTCAGCAGCAGAACATTCATGTATTCAGGGTCTGCAGGCGCTGCATTTAGAAAGCCACCACCAGCACAGGAGTTTAAGCGGAAAAACCATGGAAGACGGCATTATTTAGTCCGGCCAGATGTGCTGTGGATAGGGTGGACAGAGGGACACGGCGTGCTGCGGGCAGCAGAAGGCGTGCAGGCAGAGCCCCAGCGCTGAGCTGCAGGTGAAGGGAAGGACTGCACCAAGCCTACACCCTCCAAACACCCGTCACCTCCTTGCCCTGCTACTACAGTCTGGCATTTCATTTGTTTTATGGCTTCACCAAGATTTCTGATGCTATCCGGAACCAGAGGGTGAAAGCTGACCTCTTTTACTGAACTCACAACAGGCTGGCTGTGTGGGTACATAAAAGGCAACACCAAAGAAAGAGGCTCGGGTCTTCACTTCACTTCCAAAACTTGAAAACACTCGTGTGCAAAACCACCGCACTGATCGGAGCACCCGCAGCGCTTCAGACAGGACTGAAAGGAGAGATGTATGGACTTTGCACAGCCTTCCTACATCCTTCACATTCACGTGGATGTTTCAGTCTGAGGCCACATCCTCACTTGTCACAACTTTTCAGAGAGAGTGTCCTCCAAAAACGTGACCAGAGGTGGCAGGCAGCAAATGACAGAGACCGACGCTGTGGGCAGCTGGGATCCAAGTGACACCCCAGGCTGCCACACTGACAAACGCAGCCTATGCAGTCACATCCCAGCGCATGCAGTTACATCACTCCTCTATGCGCATTTACGTTAACTAGCTGAACAGGACTAAACCGTCCATTGTTACTGTCTGGGGACTTGAGAGCTTCCAGCATGACCAAAAATATCTTTGGCAAGTGGGCTAGTGAGGTGGCGGAGGAGGCAATAAGGCATATTTAGTGTAGCCATAAAACAAGGGGAGGGGGATTAAGTTTTTGATGGTGGGTTTGTTGGTGTTTTTCTGTTTTTAAGATTTTAGTGTCTTTCCATGCGGTGAACATGTTCAGGAATTCAAATTTAAAAAGCAACACAGCTGAGGAAGACTGTCACTGCTTTCCTCCTAAAAGTTAAAGGAGAAAAATTTATTGAGGCTTCAAAAGAGAAATGGGATTTGTTTTACGAATGTCCTGATTCACTCTACAGAGACAGAAAAGTCTGGCCCTACCAAAAGGCAGGGGACCACGCTGATCAGAAGTTCCTTACAGAAACTTCTGCTCTCTGTCCTGCTCAATTCAGGGCAGTCAGACCATCCTTCATCTGTGTATTAGGTATGTTTCAGATTCATGCTGTCGGTTGGGCAGGTTTTTTTTAAAAAAAGTAAGTCCGCCATCAGAAAAGAAAGGGGACTGCAAGCTGAGTTCTGACACTGTCATCTATGATCAGATCAGCATTATGTTCATTTCCAAAATGCATTTTCCCCAGAACAACTTTTTAGGGTACACAAGCCAAGTTTCTCTCTTGAAAATCAGCTCCATCTGTGAGTCGAAATCAAAGGTGGACTCTGAGCCGGGGGGTGATTAAGCCTGGCCAGAACATTCCTGGGGTTAATTTTCTGTATAAGTTATTCCAGCAAGTGAGACAAAAAAATAATTCAGGATTCTCTAGGTCAGGTATTAAAGCTGGAGACAGCTGTCTGTCAGCCTAGAGAGCTGAGAATTCTTACAAAGAAATGGGAGATGGAGAAGGAATCTGACAATCCAGCTAGAGTTTCAAAGTTTCTCCAGAAATGTTCCCTTTTGGCCACGATGGGCCGGTAACGACCGACCATCATGAACTTCTAATGGACCATCCTAACCGTCTCTCTTGGGACTTTTGTTTTCTTGATTCCTCCCTCCTTCCCAAGTTAATAAAAAGCTTAAAAACAAAAGAGGCAGACTCTTAGTTATGCTAATTTTACCTCCCTGGCTATTTGAATGGTGATAGTGAATGTGATAAACCCATTTAAGATAACAAGCTGCAGGAGCTTCGCAGAATACAAAGAGACCCATCCCCAAAATGCATAGACTGGATAATGTTCTGCATATGCTGAGGACAAGTTATCCCACGGTCAGCCCCACAGAGGTCGTCAAAGGAGATGCAGAAGAAGCTTTAAAAAGGTGCATTTCTATCTCCACAAAGATAAAAAGAAAATCTCACTATCTATTCTGCAGCGCCGGAACTAGGCATCCCTACTATTCTGCGAAGGAAACTAAAACAGGCTAATTCGGGATTAAAAAAAAAAATCCAAAATACGAAATGAGCAGATAGTTTAACAGTTCAGCAAAACAACATTTTTATATAGCATATATAGGACTCGCACACCAAATCGCCGCAAAAGCCTGACGCTCTCTTAAAAGTAACCCTGCTCACAAGGCGAAGCCTACTCTTTTGGCACAACTCAAAGGACCTGGAGCGCAGACGTGCAGGGCTGCAGCTCAAGTATCACTCCTTCCTGCCTCGCAGCTGGGAATTGCACAAACTCTTTAAAAAAAAAAACAAGCACAACTTATTAAAGTTGTCAGAAGGAAAAAAATTGCATTGAACTCGAGCCACAACAAAAATGAGCCCCCACCAAGTCCTGCAAAGCTCCTGCCCAACGAGCAGCGACAAGGAGGACACGGTGCAGGAGGAACCTTGGCAGTGTTACCTGCTTTGGGGGGTTTCATGCAGGAGGGAGATGGGGGGACGAGGGGAGGATAAAGGAGAGGCCGGAAGAGAGAGAGAAGCGGCGCTTCCTCCTGTCATAGTGGCCAAAGAAACCACTGTCCGGTGGTGGTGGTGACCACCCGATGACGGACCGGGGGTGCTGCTAACCTGGTTCCATCCTGAGCGCTGCAGTTGACGTCAGCCCCGTACTCGAGGAGATGCCGCACGATGCTCAGCCAGCCTCTGGCACAGGCCTCGTGCAGGGCACAATAACCCGCGTTGTCACGATGATTCACATCACACACCTTGTTTTCCAAACAGTACAGAACCACTTCCTGGAAATAGGAGGAAAAACAGATACATCGAGTTATTTCTTGCTGCGGAGATGCACAGATTTCTCTTCTTGAAGGAAAAGCAGGTCACAGGGAAGGCAAAACAACCAATCCCTATGATATGCCTAAATTAGCCTCCTTGGGATGAGTCGGTCAAAAGGAAAAGGGGGAGCTGCTGAAAGTCGTGTTTCTTCAGGAGACATAGTGGAGACCATGACTTCCCACAAGCAGAGCAGCTTCTGCAAAGCAGCACAGAGAGCTCCGCATCCCACAGGGACCTTCCCGTGGCCCCCAACATCAGGAATTGTCATCGCAGAGAGGGAACGCACAAATTTTGCAGACAAAACTCACAGCTTTCCACTTCTCAAAACTTCTACACCTAAAGCTAGCAGGAAGGTTTTTACGCATACATCTGCATTCTTTAGCAGAACATTCTGCAGGCACAACAGCAGCACAGCCCGTGTCAGTTTGATTTTAAAATCAAAAAAAAAAGCGCATGACCCAAACCAAAACACATTAAAGACACACAAAGGACAGTTTGCTATTGGCAACTAATAAAAAAAAAAGGCCTGACTCTATCAAGATCGGGGAAATCCCATTCTCACTCGCCCTGTTTTTCTGCATGCAGAACTAAAGCCAGGCGCCAGGTTCCAATAACGAGCCCGGCGCTGTGGGAAGCCATGTGAATTTAATACAATTCATCTTGCAGTCAAATACACCATGGTCGAGAGCCTAGGCCAGACTCAGCTCTACGCTGTCGTGTGGCCTTGAAACAATGACTGCTCCATCACTCAACCAAAAATTTAGGACGGTGCGAGCCTTCCTCGATTCATCTCAGACGCAAAAGAAAAAAAACAAGATCCCACATTTCTAAGTGATGCTGTGTGTATAAAACAGCCCCCGCGTTCCCAGATTTGTGGCAAGCCATTAATTTTGCATTTGCTCCTCTGGAAGGCTGAGCGGCATCCTCGCAAAGTGGGATACGGCATGGAGGGGGCGAGTGTTTGCTTTGCCAAAACAAGGGAATAAAACAACCGCCGGGTGCGATGCATTTATTCTTCCCGTTTCAAAATCTACCGGAAAGCCCTTAATAATCTGTGCTCTGGGTATACCTGACCCGAGAGCTGGTATCCAGGATACAGCATGAAGCTGCTCTTTTAGCAGGCCCTCACTAACCAGGCTAAAGCAGGGAACTAATGAGCTGCCCATCCCAGGCACCAGAGCATCATCCTCACCTGCCACCGGGACAGAGTGGTCCACCACCTACACCTGATGCACCCACTGGTTTAACCCGGGATCCTCACAGTCCCGCCTCTCACCGAACAGGGGCTCTTATTGTTCCTGCTAAGCGGCCCAAAGGCCAAAAATCATCCAGAACGGATGCTTTACCCTGAGCTCACTCGAGTAAGAAAGGGCTGTGTAAAATTATACCCCAGAAGTACGAGTTTTCCTTCCAAACCAGACCACCCTGCCAGGCAAATTAGCAGATGGATATAGGTAGCAGTTTTTTTGTGCCTGCCGTATTCAGCTCCGCTTTTAGCGTGCAGTTACCATTTAAAATAGATTCTGCAACTCAAAATAAAAGATCTTCCATCTATTTTTGTAAAAAGGAAAGGCTCATCGTAGGGCGGAATACCTACTACTGGACGAAAAGGCTAATTTTGTTGGGCAATTCTGTGTTAAGAGGCTATAAGAAGACTGTCATTAACCACAAAATGTAACCATAAAGACCATAAAACTCTACATTGTTAATTAATTAAATGCCTCATTAACTTTTTTTAACATGATTTATTCAATTTACAAAAAAATTAGCCATCACTGCCGAATACAGGAACATGTGGTGCCACAAACACACTTTTGGTTTCGTAAGCTTCTCTCACTAACGTTAGAGAAAGGCTGTAAAAGTGCCACGGGGCAACTTAATGTCTGTTCAGGTGCTCTATTTAAACCACCAATCTGAAAATCACTTGCAGTTAATCCAAAGAGTCAAGCTAGCCCCTCAACAGCCAAGATCTGTGTCACCACGGCTTCTGCTGCCTGCAGTTTGCTAGCCAAATCACAGACGGCAACATTGAAAGGTGCGGCCAAACATGCACGCTCCGTCCTCACCTACGAAGAGGTGCCCTTTGCTTTAGTCTCTCACACTCGTGCTCTGCAGCAGCTCCTGCCCTTTTTCCAAGAGAAGGGGTCAGCACCTCCCTGCGCATCCCCCATGCCCTGGGCAGGCATGCTGCCAACAAGAAGCACTGCTCCCCTTCGCCCAACCCCAAAACGCGGCCCTTGGACCTGAGCCAAAAACACTTTCCCGCAGCGCCGTGTCAAACCCCAGAAGAGATGTTCATTCCCGAGCAGGAGTCCCAAGGGAGCTGTGCAAGGGCAGGACGATGCTCCGGAGCTCCTGCTCCTGCAGCAGTGCCACCAGGGACCCAAGGCCAGACCCTCGTGTGACATATCCCCAGGGCAAACCCTCTCCTCGTACCTGGATAACCCGAGTCAGGAGCTAAGTTTAAACAGCCTGGAAAAAAACAACATCTTTCCCCCAGCCCTACCACACACCACACATTCCTCTAATTTCACTGCCTTCCCTGGCAGGATTTAATCCCAAATTTACCAGAGAACTCTCCAAGTGCAGACACACACCAAAAAGCAACAAGCGGCACAAAGACAGCCAGTGTTTCTTCTCCCATCAAACTCATTACGCAAGCCTTTTGTATTTTTTTTCCCAAAAAGACTTTACGCTCCCTATAATTCCCCCTTCACAAAAAGTAAATTACAGTTTTAAGACTACTATTATCTCAAGTCATTTGTTTCAAATGGGGAAAACAGAATGGATTCGAGAGCGCCCATACACTGGGACGGGTTGCTAACATCCTGATGAAGCCAAGGCCTGGCGCAGAAGCCTAGCAGAGAAAGAAATGGCAAAGCTTCCCACCAGCTTCGGCGGGGTTCTGCTCAGACCGTATGGATTTCCAGAGTCCAAGACCATTTGGTGCACAGTCTTTAAGTAGCCTTGCTGGCTGCCGCTCTGCAATTTATCTGACCAGACACAAGCTGCATTTGTCCTTCGACGTTTCACTCTCGTGTCAGCTTTTACACGCAAAATCGTAACCACTTGTGTCCTCCTATCCCGCAGCTATCTGGGGCACATCCATACTGTGCAACTGAGAGCGGGGCAGAGGCACCTGGGCTAGCGGCATTTGGGCTCCCCGTGGGTCCAGGAGCGATACATACAGCTTGCCAGCACCTTTGCACGCCAAAGGTGCCAGTGCTAGTTGTGGGTTTGGGGTGGAATCTCCGCTCAGCTGCCGGGCATCCCTGCTGCAAAGGCAGGCAGGCAGGCTGCCAAGGGCAGGCACCAGCTCTGTCGGTCTCAGGGCAGAGCCGCTGGTGCTGTTCTGCCCCAACACAACATCCCTGCTGATGTCAGGGCTCAGGGGTGCCCTGTGGTGCCAGCTGCTTCCAGCTCCAAGTCCTGCACCAGCACTTGGCATCACTCTGCAAGCCACAGCCCCAGTGGCGCGGACTCGTTCACCTCCTCTGCCATCGGGCCGGTGAGAGGCCATGAGGCTGCCCACCGCCACCACTGCAAATATGAGAAGCCCTCATGCGCCCGTGAGCATCCAGCACTTCCGCTTCAGCATCAGTCCCCGGCGACCACGCTGTAGCCACCAAAGGTTGCTGCCCCACTAACGTGGACAACAGAAAACAGACGTGTCCAGCTGCCACAGGTCACAAACCAGCAAATTAGCTTGACCCACTGACGCTTGTTTTTGTTTTTTAAATAGAGGAATTTGTAACTTCTTGACCACTCTTAATTTTTCTGGAGACAGAGGGAACTCAGCTTTCAATAACTGCAGTAGTCTGGTCGCTAGCAAGAAGAACAACACAGCTACAGAGCTTCCACGGCTGACCAAACTATCACAGCTCACCACAGGCCAAATGAAGCCCCGACAGGATGGTGGGGCCACCCATCGCTCTGGACCTTGAAAGACAGGGCTGCTGCCGGATCTCAGCAGCAGCTCAGGCACACGCATCGGGCTCTCCTCTCCTGCCCTGCTTGGCTCTCCTGCCCCACGCTCCGCCAACAACAGGACCCACTGCTGCGCTTTCAATACCGGCAAAATGATCCAAGTCAAACAACTGGAATATTTAAGCCTATTAAAAACGTGTTGGCTTGAACTTTGGGGGGAATTCAAGTCAGAAAATCAAAATCCCCAATCGGCTGATGATGGGAAGGCATGGTGAGTACACAAGTTTACCCCAGGGCCCCAGGATCCCCACCTTGGCAAGCCCAGGCATCTCCAGTTTTTTGCAACCAGCCCGCTAACGGCCAACGCTGCAGAGAGCTCCTGCTATCAGCAAAGCAAACACAGAGCCCTTGGCCTCTGCTCGAGCAAGACCTCAGCCCATCACTAAGTTTGGAGCTGCCCCATTTGAGCTGTGCAGCGGAGCGCACTGGGCACAGAATGCAAAGTGCACAAGCATCCCATGGCATCCTGCTATGCACGAGCAGTACTTGTCCCGACAGACACTGCGCAGGAAGAAAATACCCTCTGATAGCTTGGAGCACGTGCTACAACGCATTTTGATTTTGGATCTGTAAGAAATTTTAGGTCCGTACAAAATTCAATCATTTAAATTATGGAGATTACCATAGCAACGTTTTAACAACCACTTATTCTCCTCCTAGCTAAAGCTGAAGTGCCCTGGGTTAGAAGAAGCCTTTGTTTAGGGTAAACAGAACCTTTCCAGCAAAGGCTGCCTCTTCCAGAGCTGGAGAAGGCCTCTCTTCACACGAAGCTCTCCAGCTATATGAAGGGCATTTCGAGGTTTCTATGAAGCCCTGAGGCTGGGCAGGCCCCACATGGGCCTGGGTTGATGCCACCTTCTGGCGTGGGGCTCAAGCTCAGCTCTAAGGTCCAAGCATTCCTCTCACCACCGAGGCGAACCCTGCAGCCTCGTCGAAGGCAGCAACTGCTCTCTGCAATGAAACACCTCTTCGCGAGATGTGAAGTTGAGCAACAACAACGCTCATACCTACATGTCCATATTTCCCCAATAAAAGTGTGCTTCAAAACAGCAGAGCTAGGGGATTCATCGGTTTCTGATTTTTGTAGCAACAGGAGGGCCGTTTCATTAGACAACATTGTTCCAGCTACGCCAAGCAGCTCCAGACTCCGAGCGTAAAGCATGCAGAGTGCTCCTATGATGCATCTGATCATGCAAGAGGACACTCCAAGCACTACATCCTGTGTCACATACCAGATACTCCCTGGAGAAAACAACAAAAAATAAAACCCTTCTCCGAAACTACACGCTCTTCACAAATAACAAGAGCAAAAATTGTACAGCTCGTTAAAGATCACCATAAAGACCACTTTAAAAAAAAAAAAAGAGAGACAGACAAACATTCTGTTTGCAGATGGCTTGTATTTAAACGGAAGTGAGGGTTACCAATAAAACTCTACCCTTTGGTCGTTCACGCAGGATGCTGCTTACCCTGCGTCCCCGCCAGCTGACCCAACGGCGCTGGGGACACGTTTCCGCAGTGACCTATCCCCCGACCCCGTGCACCAGGGAAGGGAACGCAGCAGGGGATGGGGGGGGTCCTGCAAATTTCAACCACCGAACTCAAAGCTGCCGCTTCGCAAAATTTCCATCCTTAAAATTGGAAAGAGGGTTTTAACTTTTGAAACCAGAAACTCATCATCCCGCAGGGCGGTGAGGGACTCTTACCTCGTACCCCAGGCGCGCCGCCCGCTGCAGCAGCGTTTCCCCCGCGTTCTTATTGACAATAAGCCTCCGCGCTTCGGGTGGCATGGGCCGGCTCGGGGTGGTCTCCTGAGGGGGGCTTGCGATTGGCAGCTGCGGGGGTTGTGAGACGGGTAGTAAGGAGGGAGTCTGCTGCAGGCGATCGTACAGCTTCTGCTCGTATGACTTGATGGGCGAGGAGTCGCAGTCTGAAGTAGGCTCTGGTCGCTTCCTGACTTTCCTCGTTACCGTGACCTGTCAAACCATTATAGTGGGAGGTTTTTATCCTCCTTTTTCCAACACGGCGATGGGATTATATTTTGCCAGCAAAGAATTACACTTTTCTACTCATATTTAATTTTTTAAGAAAGACCTGCTACAGCTCTTAAATGCAAGATTCCTCACCCCCTGCAACAGTGCCTTTAACTCGGGTTAAGAAAAGCAAATATAAAATGTGCCAAGCATCCACAGACAAATTTGAATGCGATCTCTGCTACCCTGCATGCATGACAGCGCATTAGTTTTAAGCAGGCTGGCTCTGCCTTCTGAGAGCTGGTGGACAATTAAGTCTAAATAAAGATACCTTATCTTCAGCATTTTCGATATCTGTGGTGTCATCCCCTGTCAGAGATGACCTCCTTCTCCTCTCCTGCAGTGCCAAGTGTTTTGTTTTACACTGACGTTTCCCTGATGGCTTCTCACACTCGCTGTATTTCTGCAGCAGAGACGCATGTTGGAAATCCTCCTCTTCGTCTGTGTACAGCCCATCTGTCTTCCGGCTTTCTTTAATTTTCTGCTGTTTGGCAGCCAACCTCGAGGCTGGAGTACAGCTTGGCTGAGCCTGCCTTTTGCTGTTTGCATTGGTGGATGAAAGGCTCTTCATGTGCGGAGACACTGGGAATACGGGCAAGCCTAAATGGGAAGGAAAGGCATTACGCGTCGCGTGGCGTGTTAAAAGGAAAACACATCGCTAGCACTTAACGCAAGCTCCTCGACTGCTTAAGAGATCTACCAATTACATTTCCAAATCATTAATATTTCAAGCGTTCCGCATTCAAACTGTAAATAGCAGCGTGCCAGTTACCGTTACGTTAACAGTCGTAAGGCTCCGATAAAAATCCCTAAAGCGTAACGCCCCGCGCGGGGTGCCAGGGCACCGCGAAGGCTGCACGGTGCCGTGCCATGCCGTGCCATGCTGGCTCGCCGGGTGCCCCCGTGGGCGGAGCGGAGCGGAAAGCCGCTGCGGCACCGCCTCGCCGGGGGGGAAAAAAACTCGCCTCCTTACCTGGAACTGCTTTATTCTGAAGGGGAACCAACTCCTCCGGCAGCCTGGGCCCGGCCGGGCTCGTCCGCCCTCGGTGAGGTGGGGTGGCGGGGCAGAGGCGCAGGTGGTGGGGGAGGAGGGGACAGCAAGAAAGGCGGGAGCGTGGATGAGGTCTCCGTGGGACAGCACGGAGGGGGAAAATGGTGAGCTTAGGTCTAAGGCAGTGGTAAGACAGGGGACGTCTCCTCGGCGTCATTTTCCCTCAAAAGGCAAACCAAGAGAGGGAAGGCTGCTCCAGCAGCCATCCCTACGGAAGGCCTGTGGCAAAGCCTCTCTCAAAAAGCACAGGGATTTTGCAGGAAAAGCGGTCGGCTGCATCTTCCAGACGATTCCGACCAGAAGCGAGTCTTTCTGTGAGACCAGAGAGCCCCGGGGCACAGGGAGCTAAGGCCTGTGCTCTGCTGCCGGCAGCAGGACACCAGCAAGGCCGGGCTTTCTCCGCGGGTTCGCTCTAACAGGACGGATCCCACAATCTGGGCCACATGCAAAAAGCATGGTTACTTTTTCTTTCCCCCCAGAGTGCAAGCAGGTTTACAACAAAACAAGGACAGGAAAGTTGACTTTTTATAGTCTGAATTTCCCTTGGGAGGAGAATTGAGGTGACCTCAGAACCAACTCCTCTGCAGAAAAATGAATTAAAGGTTGCTGGAAAGGAAGGGACACTTGAGCCAAACAATACCACACCGCTGAGGGAAGGTGTGGAAAAAACATCGAGCACTTGAAAGAGGCTCCTTTGCTCCGAGAAGTCTCTGAAGTGATGCTACTTTCGGAACAGAAGAGATGGCAGGAGCAATAAGGCACAACGCTGCTCAGAGAAGAGACACCTTTATTTAAAGAGACTCGATCCAGAGCCAGTCAGTATAAAAGAAAATAAAATCTAGAATCCTCTTGGTGGGCAGCTTCACACTTTTGTCTTCCTTTAAATAGATCTGTGAAAGCAACTTGCAGACGGCTTTCTAGATTAAAGATGAAAACAGAAATCCCTCAGTTCTTTTGAGCTGCTTTCTAGAAAAAGATGTGTACCGTGGCTTGCCAAGCAGATGTCAGGGAATTTACGGACACACGATGTGCAGATTGTTCAGCAAAAATTCAGTAAGTTTTTTAGGCTTTGCAATCCTGAAGGAAGGCGTCTAGTCGCAGGCTGAGCCCACGGATGCAAGGCTGTCTTTCCAGCTCTGCAGACAGCACAAAGTAAGGAGCATTTAATTCTTCTGTTCCCAACTAACCTAATTGGAGTAGCAGCATGTGAAAAGCCCGGTTCCAATACAGAAGTATCATCGTTATCTACTTAATCACTTACTAAAAAAACACGAAGATGGAAAGCAGCAGCAATGAGGTCTGGCGAGTGCAAAGGCAGGTAAGAAACTGCTGCATGTAGAAAAACTAGAATAGAAAGGAAAAAAGAACTTCTGGAGAAGGACAGAAATACCAAGAGGATGGAGGAAAAAAGTACAGGAAGAGAAGCCTATCTCAAAGAACTGCAGGCTTTCCCACGCAGGGCTGCCAAGGCATTAAAAGCAGAAGTTTAATCACCACAAAAAATGTGTACTCCAGCCTGCAAGTTCCACATAAACTCTGCGCTCCACTCTGACCCTCCACAGTGGTGACAGCAGGCACCAAGCTAAACCTGCACCGCAGCTGAGAGATGGAGAGTAGCAACGCTATGCCCAGGAGCTACAGGATCAGTAACATTGCAAGAGGCCACCACTACCCAGAAAAAACAAAGCATCGGCCTGGGAAATGCAAAACACACGGGTTGAAAAAAAGGCAAGTGATTAATCCTGGAATCCCACCCCATCTTTCTGACCACTACATACGTGAAGGGAGAAGAAAAACAAGAATGAGCAGGAATATCCCCAAATATCCATGAAAAAAACCCACTAAACTAAAAACTCAAAAAAACCCAGGCCTCCGACTGATGTGGGTTGTGGCATATCTGATTCAGAGCAGGACCTGCCTCCCTTCCCCAAGGAGCGGGCTGCAGAAAGGTCCACGCAGAAAAGCAGCTGCTGCCGCATCACCTGAATGCTCGCTTTTTCAGCTCCCACCCCAGCAGCTGCCTCCTCATGCCTGCCAAGCCAGCGGCCGCCACGCTGCCTGCAACCCGAGGCAGCTCTGAGGGGCAGGCAGTGGCTTTCCCGGTGGGTGAGATCCTCCAGGCTCCTCTCCGAGGGGCTTTTGTTTCAGTCGGGTGAGTGGCTGCCGCTTCCTGGGGGGTGAGCTGGCTACCACACCAGCGCCGGGAGGTTATTGCTCAGCTGGGACTCCAGCAGACACCATGGCTCACGCCTCAGCCACGGCTCCAGGCTAGTGGCATGATGCCCTGAGGCTGCAGGCATCCCTACGCTCATGGACCTGCTGCGCCCCAGGGAGCCAGCACAGGCAACGTCACCTCATGAGTGCGATGAGACAGGGCCCGAAATTACTTCGGGTAAGGCACATCCCAGCTCTCGTGGTTCTGACCCGCAAGTGAGGCTGCAAGGAGGTAACAGCCGGCAGAGTCACCAGGGGATCATTTCCAGCAGCCACCGCTGGATCACCCAGCTAGCAGTCACTGTCCGGGGGACAGAGGGGTGACTGCTTGGCAGCGGCTTGCAGTGCAACATGTGACTCCTCCCACGCTGAAATTCCGGGTTGAACACAATTGGAGCAACAAGCCCGGGAGTCAGCAACCTCCGACTTCCCGGAGATTTGCAGGCACAGGTGGCAAATCATCCTGCTATTAGACTAAGGCTTCACGGGCACAGGGGCAGAGTTCGATGCACTGTTACAGCTCGCTTCTTGGGATACAACCAGCTTCTCAGCAGCAGAGACTGTCATGTTCAGAGGCAGCACTTGGGCACCGGGAACAGCTGTTCCCAGCCCCAGAGCAAACAAAAGCTGCAAGCGACAGGATATATTCTCATAGGCACAATATCTGCTTGTTCAAGAAAAAGTCTGAGGACTAGTCCTAGGCGAGATAGACAAGCTGGAAGTCTCCATCCCCCTGCGACTGTCACACAGAGGACGCTCCATCGCACAACAGGGAAAAATGTCCTCATCCTAATGATCTAAGGAAAAGGAGATTCAAATTTTACTCTTCAACAGGGCTGGAGGAGTGTCAGCAAAGCACTCTGAACGATCTCCAGTGCCTCCATACAAGGAATGGTGAGGCATAATTTAGTCAGGTTTATGGTTTTATAGCGGTTTCCAAAACCAAGATGTTTTTCATAGCCATGGGGCGACCAAATCTGAATGCCTGTGGGAACAGTGCATAGATTGGGAGCCACCTCTTTTTCTTTCCTGAGGTCATGAGTTAGAGAAGCCTGTCGCTGCCACGGGAGGCATTGCAGGGAAAAGCTGGAGCATCCTTACACAATGCGGCTTCTTGTTAGTGACCCTCGTTTAATCTCTACGAGGTATCTCTGAAAGTACAAAGGGGAGCAGGTGATGGGCAGGGATGTTTGAGCCGATACCATGCTCGCCAAGACAGCACATAAAGCAAAGGAGTAGGAGTCAAAGCTCCTTTCAAACTAAGTTTTGATCTCCTGCTCCACGAATCCTTTTGGAGAACCTTCCCCATCAATAAGCATCAAGGTTTGGGGTTTTCTGCCCTCAGATAATCCTACCAAGGGGAAAGATGGGCGAGGACCTTTAGGACAGAAGGGAAGCCGACACTTTTGCCTGTGACTGTTTCAGAGATGCTACTAGGAAAACTCTGGTGCAGGATGAACTGGACTTGGTCCTTTCCATGGCATGGGACAAGAGGATCCACTCTCCTCGTGCTTCTCTCTTTTGAGGGGATCTCAGCTAAACTACAGGTTAGGCCAGCTGGAGGGTGAATGCCTACCAGTTTTATAAAGCTCCCAGGTCTACGAAGAAAGAAGAAGCCCAAACGTCCAACTCGGAGCCCCCCCTCCCAGAAACAGCCTTTCCTCCAAAGCCTGCAGAGAACTTGGAGGGGTAAGAGGAGGAGAGGAAGGACAAAAAATTATTTGCAACCTTTTGCTTGAAAAGCAGAAAGAGGAGCAGGGGCTCCCTGCTGTGCCCAGAGGAGATGGGGATTCACAATGAGATGCAGGGAACACGCGAAGGGGATCGGCCACGCGGGCTGTGTGCTGCCGTTCCCCAGTCCTCCGATGAAGCTATGGCAGCAAACATCATAGAGAAGGGGAAAAGCAGCAGAGCAGACAATGTACCTGGGTGGTGAGGACAGGGGGGACAGGAGAGTGACCTGTCCGTCCAAAGGAATATGTGGCAGATTCCTTCCACGGGCTCTCCCCTAAGATAGGGAATGGGCAGAAAAGGGGGAGAGGATGGGGGAATGGAGGAAGCGGAGTGAGGAGGAAAGAAGCAGCCAGAAACAAGCCAAGGAAAGCTGACGTGCTTTGAGGAAGCGACCCCTTAGGAGAGAGCCGCTGGGAAGATCTCTGCCAAGGGGTTGGGGAGTGGGGCCACAGGGGTTTACAGGACATGCCGGGAACGAACCAGCAAGGCATCCTCTTCAGGAGGAGGACGAGTTTTGCTCTTGAGCATGTGCCCTGGGAAAGCCAGGGAAACCCAGCAGTGCTGAGGGTGCTGGAGGCGTTGGGTTCCCAAGACCAAGGGCTGCTAGCCGTGCTGACGCTGCTTCAGAGGGTCACAGCCCCTCAAATCCTACGTGTGGTTAAACACTCTTACACCAACTAGCAGCCTGTTTGCTCCCTCCCTCCCTCGCCCAGAAGCATGCCCACGTTGTATCCCCCCCTCAGCTCTCTCTAGAGGCATAAACTTTATCTTCGCATTATCTATGAAAGAGTATTTAAAGCCAAAACACACACATACACACACACATGCACAAACACATAGTTACACACACATACACAAACATATTTTCTTGTCTGCCAAGTATCAGCTATGGTGCAATTCTTAAAGAGGAGGTGTCAGTCCTTATACAAATGGACATCTACAGAAATACATATATATATAAAATTACAAAAAGAAGAAAAAAAAGGAAAAAAAAAGCTCTCGACAATTCCTTAACATCGGTGGCAGCATGCGTCACTGTAAATGCTAAAGCCGTCTGGTTTCCCTAGTAGTCTCTGCATACCTTGTTCATTGTCACTTGTTTTGAGGGACTCTTCAGACCAACTTCTATTGCTTTTGGCCTCTGACCTTTTCTTGGTGTGCCTTTCTTCTGTGAAGTCTTTGACCTTTGCAGTGGCCTCTGGCTGAACAGCCTCAGCTAAATCTTTCCTGCTTTGCCGGCCCAACTTGCCGGACGGGGATCTCTCTGGTGACACCTGCTGCTCCCATAGTTCCCTAAGATGCTGCAGGTGACGCTGCTTTTTGGGATGGAGCCCTGTTAATTCAATGCACACCTTCAGGTTGGTCACCTCATTACAATTGGGCTCTTCTAAGTGGTTAGAGGAATTGTTTGTCATTTCCCTCTCAGGCCAGTCATCTAATGGAAAAATAACTAAAAATTAATCAAAAAGCCCCCTCAACTTAAAACAAAAGCTACATTTCACTTTCGGGGCATATAGTCTCAGCTTTACCACCACACTATGCATTTTAAAGGTTCGCTCATTAAGGGTTACATGCACTACAGTAACTTGCACTGCTGTGGCTACAGTGTCCAACGACTCGTGCTTTACCCTTATATGCCAAGATTTTTATATATACATATATATATACATACATATATATACATACATATATATAATTTTAAGTGAAATGACAGTGCTCACATTAGTAACTATCAAGTTCAAAAATGGAAACACATTAAGCCAAAGGGACGTTCCTTTCACAAGACATTCCTTGAGAGAGACCGAAGCAAAATGCTGTCTTACCTTTGGAGTTCTTCTTTTTTTTTGCTTTTGATATAAGTTCATCCTGCAGTTCATCCACAAAGTTTTCATTTTGGCTGCCATCATTTTGCACTCTCTCACCAGAGTGTTTACGCTTCCTGTCCAGACGTGGACATGGATGTTGGCCAATAGCTTCTGCTGGCTGGGCTTTCCCTTTTTCATATATAGAATGTCTCTCTAAATAACATTTCTCATTTGAGAGCTCTTTTTCGTCTGCAGTTTCAAGAAAGTGACCTTGGTTGTTTTCTGGACTAGTAAAGTTACCTAAAAATAAAAAGAAACAAACACCACAAGACCTAATAAATACAAAACAATTCATTGTGAGAAAGTTACGCTCTATGATCTCTTCAATGTCATCTCCACCATGACTTATGGTTTATGAGGCATGCAAATAAACACAAAATCCTACTTCAGAACAAGCCCCCTCTGGCCAGCGTAATGCAGCAGTGCTCTCAACAGCCAAGCACAAACCCCCCAAAAGCGCGGTGTTTTCACGTCAATTTAAGAAGTAGAACAATCACAATACTTGCAGCCATAGAGACACCACAATACGCTTTTTTAAATAAAGAAACATCTTCAGGTATCGAAAGCATAGACCCTTTTCAGAAAGCGACCTCGCCCCCCAAAACCATGGGAAGTAATAATCCCAGCTTCAATTTGCAATGACTTTCTTTTCAAAAATACTTTCTAATGATAATAAAGTATTAGTATTTTGGTAATTCCTAAATCCTTCCCTAACTTCTCGCATCGAATTGCAGAATCTGACTCAAAAGCATTCATCCCCTCTTCTGGGGATACAGATGGGATATGGAGCACGCACACACGTACACGGGAATACCACCAAGAATAGCTGCAATATTTTGCAAAAATGCACTGCTTGAATCCAAGGTTATAAAAAGGCTTCCTCACTTTGAGTGAGTACAGCCAGCCACTGTACATCACATGATCTTTGTCACCTCCTTTTAAAAAAGACCTCACTTTTTTCAGGGATTATTTCCAGCAGCAGTGACCCAGTGAGCTCTGAAAAGCTTACTAGAAACTAGTTTGACCAGCCAGCCCCAAACTCCCTGTATTGCCCTGCTTGCCCCAACTTCAGTTTCCCCTCTCCAATACTGTTCCTCCCAGACTTAGAGACAGCTGAAGTGATTTTAAATGGACACTTGACTTAAAACGGTACTTAATCATCATGTTGAACAGGTATTTTTTCCTCAAGTTTAAACCAAACTAGCCGAAGTATGATCAGACAGACATTCAGCACAGACTGCAACACAGTTAATCAGCTTCCCATCTACAATTCTCACAAACAACTTGGTTTTCACATGCGTTTTAGCCCTCCTGGCTGATCACTATACTCTTTCTGCACGTCTGCCACTGTTTGGCAAACTGTACGCTCTGTCCTACCTCCCCACAGCCAGCTATCCCTTTTCCTCTCCCTCCTCCTTGCCCTTCCTCCTTCTCCCACTTCCCTTCCTGCAAACGTATCTGCTACTTTCCTACCTGGGCTCCTGACTGTGCCATTTCCTTTCCCTCCCCCTTGATCCTCCTCATCCTTACTCAGCCTCCTCCCCTGCAAAGCCTGGCCTTCAACTTCCACTCTTCCACCTCGCCAGGGCACAGATGTTGCTCTCCTGCAGCCTCCTCTCCCCTCCAGACCCACCACACCAGCGTCCAGGCTCTGGCAGCCTCTGGATGCAACCCCACTCTATTCCACCTTATCTTGAGAGCACCTTCCTACAGCTCTGCCAACACCTTCTGGTTTCACGACCGTCCTTGAAATACCTATTGTCAGCAATGGAAGGCTGAGGGGAAAAAAAAAACAACCCCTCTTTGATGAGGTTTTTCTTCACTACAACTTGGAAATGGCTTCAAGTAGCACCTAAGGCTCCGGAGATGTTTGCAGGCACCAGAAGACACCCCAGCATCATTTTTGTGCTGCTTGGAAAGCTGCCTGCAGGGCTGCTTTATAAAACAGCAGATGATACTTGGCCAAGAAAAATCAAAACATAAGTTGACTTTTTCCAGGCAAGCAGGACACTCGGGCCATTCTGCTATTTGGCGATGCTCCTCTCCACAACGCCGTCTGGCCAACACCTGCTCCCTTCTAGACTTTAAAACGCAGTTTGTCACGCTTCTTTCAGCCAGCAATGCTAACGTGTTCCAGAAAACAGGTATCTCAGCTTACTACAACTGTGCCTCTAAATCACCAGTGTCCCCCACAAACCAGAATGAATCTGGCAGCACCCCACGCTTGCACATCTGGGATGAAGATGCTGCCCAACAGCTGTACCCTATAACCATACCGACAGCCTCAGCAGTTCCGTTTTTCACACAGCATAAAAGATGCTGGACCAGCCACATTTTAAATATCACTTTAGAAATGCTTCTATTGGATTTCATTTCACATTTTTAACACAATCTGCTATTTTTCCCCCTCATGTAGGAAACACTATACTTATATGCTCAGTTTTCCCAAAGAGATTAGGTAAGGGCACTCTCCGCCACGCTCCCACTGTTTATAGCCTTCACGTTTCCAGTCATCCCAGCAACTACACGCCGCGGTTTGTGCCGAGAGTCACTGGATGAGGAGCTGAAGCTTTCCTGCTCCTAATGCTGTCTGGCCTGAGAAAAGGCAGGCACATCCTGACCAATTCCCGGAGAAGCTTTCGCAGGGTCAGAGGAAGTAGCAGGCAGTAGAGACGGGGGAGTTGATGGTCTAAATCTTTGGGGCTTGCAGGAAACAGCAAGCTAATTCCAGCCTGCCACCACCGAAAGCAACCCGCTGCTGATTAATTCCTCCCCTCTTTGCACGAGGACTCGGCACAGGGATGCCGAGCACTGCTCACTCAGACTGCCCGTGCTGGGGAAAAAAAAAAAAGAGGAGAGACATTTGCCGTAACCTCGCTAACAGCTTGTCACCATCGGCATTTCTCTGGGGCTCCACGTGCCAAGGAGAACAGCACACATCTATTGAAGTTTATCCAAAAAGTCCTCGCTGCCAGCAGCTCTGCGACACCTTTGCCTCCGTTTTCCGTTCACATTCAAGGGAGATCCCTCAGGCAACCAGAGCTACATCTCCTCGGCCACCGAGCCAGAAATCCCTCTCGAGGACTGCCCGCTGCACACGCGTCTCTGAAATCTGTCCCGCGAGATGCAGTTAAGACCATTAGAGGAGCGACATCTCTGCACATTAATCCCGGTTGCGTAATCATCCTGCATCGACATGGGAGGACAGTGATGGTGAAGCCGGGGAGCCGAGCAGGATGCGTCCTTGCCTATCCGCTCCGCCGCCGATGCTGCCCCCGCCTCTTCTACAGCCAGATTTTCACCGCGAAAGAACAAAGGTGAGTCACTGTTGGGGACACAGCATAACCCCAACAGCGCTGTCGGGCTCTCTACGCAGCTTGCACGGACACGTCGCACGCCCAGAGGTTTTTCCCCTTGGCACAGCGGCAATTGCCTTGTGGAGCGCAGGCTCTATTATGTTTTACCACTGGATTCCACTCTGTCCTCAAACTGTTTCGCAAGCAACCCAGATCAGACATGATGCCTCCCCAAATTAAGATATAAATGTCAACATGAGGCACAGAAACATAAGCATATCTTGCATGCCCAACAAGGATAAGGAGAATTTATTTACTTTTGTTTCCCCCGCCATGTATCTACATCCTTTTCTCCGCTGGAGGAAGAAAACAACAAAATACTTGGGAGTTTTCATATCATCATGATTCAAACAGTGACGAGGTAGCCAGAAACACAGGATAAACGCTGAGTTCTCATAGCAACACACCTCTTTGAGTAAGAAGATTAAACTCTTAAACATGTTCCTTTCTCGACCCTCCAGCATTTGCCAGTCTCACACCAGCTGCGAGAACCAGCACCAACAACTCAAACCATTTCTCACTGTCGCACCCAACCAGAAACAAGGAAGAATTAAGAAGATGCTTCTGCCCATATGGTTTCTGCTTGAAGAACTATGCCCTTAGTGCACGGCTTACAATCTCACGAGAAACAGTTACCCGCATGCACAAACACAGTAACAAAACCCAAAAAACAACAACAAAAAACTTTCCTTCATTTTTCCATCTTCCTGTTGCTGTCAGCCACTTGAGATCAGGCCCTCCCATGCAATGCAAACAAGGAAACACGTCTTCGAGTTTAAGCTGCGATTCTTTTGTTCAAATAACATGGCAGCTAAAAACAGCCTTTCCTCTTCCCTGGAGCAACCTCTCATTGCGCTCACTTACGCAAGACACCGTTTATTCATCTGAGCAGGGTAATGACTATCCAAATTCTAAAACCCAGTATTCAGCATGGAGATCACAACAACAGTAAAAAATTCTGTAAGTCACCTTCAGCATCCAGTTCTGAGTATCCCACGGAGCAGAGGGAACCCAGCTGTTTTCATTTTTCCCTCCAAGTACCTCTGCTCAGGAGTTTTCCCCATTTGCTTCCTTCTGCCCAAGCCCATCGCACTGCACAAACAAGCCACTACCATTCTCCCTGCACACATTTTCAGTTCTTTCCCTTTTTTTTTGCATTATGTCCTGTTGTTCGGAGGTAATAACTGACCAGGACAAAAAATGTTTACTGTCTCCATCTTTCATTTGTTCAAGTATATACACAGCCCAGCGAGAAAAGAAAAGCAGGAGATTGCCATGCAAAGGGACACCAGCACCTTGCTCCGACGCCGAAGGTCAGCTCTAAAGGCGTTGGCCCATTACACCATTTACTTTCACACACACAAACTGCTATAACTTTTTCCCCCTGACCTCATGCCTTAAGATCAGGTTTTTAACATATCGGTTTTATTTTCCCTGCTAAGGCTTAAACGGACGGTGTGTTCCTCCTATAAAATTAGATAAATGGGTAATTACACTCCTCGATCAAGAAATTCACAGCTTGTAGAATTTACTCAATCTTTCACACTTGGGTCTGATTTTTCAATACCGCTAGAAAAGCTTTGTTACGAACCGACATGCGATCATCACATGCCCGTATTGATGCGCGTGTCCATGCCAATAGCTTAAATCACTTGATCTCTGAACAATCCTATGACTCATGACATATGCATCCCATAATTTATCATGTTCGTGCTATG